AAATCAAAGTTGACCCTGCATGATTATTCATAATCCTTATTGAATTATCAAATGTACAGATATCCCTCTTTCTTTGAGTTTCACTCAGTCACGGTGGGTTTTGCCGAGTTAATTTTCACTTCTTTGATACAAATTTCTTCTTTGAATCCTAAATCTAGGCATTACATGACACTTGCCACACCAAGAGTTGTCCTGGTTAGGCGAACCAAAGTGTTTACATGAAGAGAAGTTGACAGTCCTGCTTGCTAGGGTTACCCCATCTGCCGAGGTGAGACAACTCACCCACCCAAGTTGTCTCGCCCCCGAGACGGGTTCACAATCCGATTGGTTGATTTTGCAAAAAAATATGTGTAAAGTTACCTCAGCCAGGGTAACTCGGGGGGAGAGTTGTCTCGGGTACCTGAGACCATATATATGGGGCCTTAATTAACAAAGCAGGTACACAGTTACACATAGCATGTATAGGTGAGTGTTAAAAAAAGATGCCCAAAAAATGCCTTAATTTTCGCTTCACATAACTACTTTAACATTTTCAAATACATTTTATACACTGAAGAGAGACCCATCATTTCACCTTACTATAGTATGTTTAACTTGCTTGGTAACTACTGCTAGTCTCCTCGGCTATTTAGTTTTGATAGAAGAAATGCGATTAACTTTTCAGGATAGTATATACTGTAAATTGGATTATTATGATTTCGAGGTTAATTTCTATTAAGCTATCCTTTTTATCATTATTATTTATTATCATCTCATGTATAACTTATGATTTGTGGTGACTCGCCTAGTATGGCCGTATGGGGTCTTGGACACTTGCGGGCCTCCAATGACTACTTCTATTTTAAATATATTCTTTTTAGATATATACATTTTTCCTCATTTTCTTTTCTTATGTTTAGTTTTAACCTGTCATAAATTGTAATAGGTACGGATACGCTTAAGTTTATTCCATTTCCTATCTCATTGATTAACTTACCTGGATAAATTCCTCAATCTTTTCTAACCCTCCAGCGACTGTAAAGTTTTCAGAAGTCATCCATTTGATATTGGGTATCTCATATCCCGTCTCAGGATCTATTGTGGGTTCATCATCTTTAACATCAGGAACGTCTGATTCCTTTGCCCCACTGGCGTACACCGACAATCTTCGCCGCGCATTATCAATTGCTTCGTCTACGATCTCACGAGCCTCTTCTTCGTAAATTTCCTCAAGCGTTCGATTTCCAGGAACCACTGTACGGATGATTGGTGCAGGTTTCTTTGCTGTACCTGCAGAGGACATCGTGCTTGAAATGACAGACTGAAAAGGTTATCGTTCGCTGCTTTTGGCAAAAACCCTATCATTCAAGTTTGTCCACCATTTTGATTTAACTCGGTTTCCATGGTAACGATCATTAAGCCACGCATTCCCTTTCTCAGATACCGCTGATTCGTGCTACCGACATTAACTTGGAGGGCCCTTGGAGGAGCGGGATAAACCTGGTTGAAGTACGCTTTAAGACTTATTTCTCGCGTAACAACTTTTTAGGACAAAGAATTTTTTTAGCTTATACTTCTTTACAAAGAGTCATGAAGTCTAACTAGATGTCTGAGGAATCTCAAAAAATTCTGGCAGAATGGGTGATGGTGACTGGGGAGGGGAGGGGAGGGGAGGGGATGAGGGATCAGAAATTTAAGGATTGCTGACATGACGGCCATGAACTCCCAAACACTGTTGTTACCATCATTTACGCTTCATTCACTCACATTTAGTCATCCAATCTGAGACCAATTATTCCCGTGGAGTACCCCCAGATCGCGCAAATTCGTCGTCGACTCATCGAAAACAATATGTAACCCAACCTCGTTTCTATGAACATCGAGTGTCGAATGAATGAGGACAAATCTTTCTTCGTCCGGTTTGCTAATATGCGATGTTCATGAGCTACCAATATATTCAATGCCGGAAATTCGTACACATGGAATGACCCCGCTCCTAAATGGTTGGAACAGAGCGAAACATGTCCGTCACTCTGAACGACTGTAGCTGGTATCACGGACGGATCACCCGTGATCAAGCCATCGACATCTTGCTCCAAAATGGACGGAAAGAGGGGCTATTCCTTGTGAGAAACAAAGCTGGGGCTGAAGACAACTTTGTGTTGTCGTTATGGCATGCGAATCAAGCGCTTCATTTCCAGATACAGTGTCGAGGAGGTATTTATTATTCTATCGATGATGGTCCCATTTTTGAAGGGCTGGATTCGCTGATTGAGTACTACAAAGAACAGGCAGACGGTCTCCCGATCAGACTTTCGCAGTTTTGCAAGGGGAATCCGCCCCCTACGTCATGTAGAAAACATGGAGTGACAACTCCTCTTCATCTTGCGTGTGCAGAGGGGAATCTTAATTTAGTGTCGGGTTTATTGACTGGAGGAAATCAGTCCGATGTGAGCACAAGAAATGAACAGGGGGTAACACCACTCCACGAAGCTGCATTTCGAGGACATCAAGACATTGTTTTGCTCTTGTTAAAACATGGTGCGGAGACGAAGTGTAAAGACGATAACGGGAACACGCCGTTGCAGGTAAAATTGACCACTTTGAAAGCTAATTACCAAGAATCGAGTTTCGTCATAAAGCTCACTTCCTGTGAGCGATTGTCTTGGCGGAAATCCACACTGAATCAATTTGGTATCATGGTCATATGACTTGTGGGTTCCATCCGTTTTGTCTGAGAAATACACATGCAGAATCAATGAGTCTTTATACATGTAATTTACCCGTAAGATATACTATTTAAGCTTATCTTACCCCAAGTAAAGCATTTTGGAATTTGTAATGTTCAGAGGTCAGTTCAGATCAGGATTTATGTAAAATATGTGATCAAAGCTCAAGGTATTAAAATTCAGTGAACCATGGAGCAAGGTAGAGACCCTGCAAGACAGAGGTTCCCTTCTCTTTCTGCTTGGTGAAAGTTGAGAGGGAACCTCTGCTTACAACCACGTGATTTCCTATCGTGCATGCATGAACTAAATCAGAATGCCTCATGTGTCATGAATGCTATGCCGTGGGAAATGTGTTCACACAATCAAATTTTTTGTTATTTTTGGTTCAATTGTGGCAAATTTACTTGAATTCCGACTTTTCCACAATTAAGTTGTTGGACAAACTACAGAAATTTCATAGAGTTCAGCAAAGTATTAAGCAACAAAACAAAGACCAATGAAACCCAAATTGGCTTCATTCAAGACCACACTGTCCAGTACGTGCTTCACAAACTGCAAGCTAGCTGCAGAAAAACAAACTGTTTTTGAATAATTAAAAACTTAACATTATAACCTGCCTATCCACCATTATATCATGTTCCAATTTGACAACGAATAGCTTGTGAAGGTGAATTACTGTACAGCAATAGTTTCTGCAACTGTTCAGACAATCAAAGATTGCCAGTTATTCATAGGACAAAAGTGTTGAATTTGATGCATGCATACGTGACGAACCCATGTCAGTGCAGTGTTGCCAACGAATTGTAATTTTCTAGCCAACCACAGGGCAGTAGATATTGTTGGCAGTTTCGCAAGTGGACAGCATTTTGAATCCTATCTGTCTTACGTAAGTTATTAAACTGGTTAAAACTTTAAAAAACCAGACAGTATATTTTATTTATTCATCCCTGGTTGTGGATGGTGGCTGATCAAACCATCGAGCAGTTATGAGCAAAGGTTTCCTCTTATCTCCCTCTGAGCAGAAAGAGAAGGACATACCAATCTCCATCTCGCAGCGTACTGCATGTAATGTAAGAAGTTAATCACCTGTAACTGAGGGTGTTAAAGGGTATTTTCGTGACTCGTGATCGGCCCTTTTTTTTTCCTGTGAAATGTGAAATGGCTTATTTTTTCCTCGTGAATCGTGATTTCCATAGTCGCCGTGAACCGTGATTTTCCAAAACGTTCTCTATTATTTTCCCTGAAGCATGAAATGCCAATGTTGTATTTTTCGTGAATTGTGAAAGGGCTGCTTTATTTTCAGTGAAACGTGATCTATACCCCCCCTTTACCACCCTCGTAACTGGGTGCTTCCGTGGGGAAGGGGGGG